CCATTCTACGATAAGCGGAAAGGATGCGTACTGCTAGGGAGGTATGCCACCTTTTTGTACTTTTTCCTTGCTGTTCATCAGACGCGTGCGCTTTGATCAATAAAACCAATTTTCTTGAAATCCTGAATAGCCCAGGCTTTTGTTTGATGAAGCAGCTACTGCGAAGGAAATCTCGTTGGAATCCCTGCCCAACACTATGAAAGCAATATATTTGCCTTGCTTTTTCAGCGTGCTGGTTTCGTAATGTTAACAACACGCTAGTTTGTCGACTTGCTTTTGTAACAAATGCTATGAAGGCTTGAAACATTGTTTAGACAAAAATGTGTGCGAACATGAAGCTTTTATCCCCCGACTTAAACAAAACTTTACACTATGTCTATGATTTTTCTCTTATGGCGTTTTACCATAGTGACTCTTTTCGAGGCTCGGTTTGACTTTGGGAATGGGAGTATCACATGGTCCATGGTAACGTACTGATTAAATCTTCAATCCAGGCTTTTCTCAGGAACAGGTCTTTGCTGCCCGCTGGGCCAATTACAAACGTTCTTTTATTCGCATCAGTGGAGGTGCCACGCCGGTTGTCATGACGGCGATAACGACAACTGTTACGAAGAAGCGTAGTGCTGTTGAAAATCGTTTGAAGCGTAATTTTGACTCGGAAGTAGGTAGAATTGATAGCCTGTTAAGTCTTAACAGTGCCGCAGCGGCATTACCCAATGCTATTGTCAGACGTAACTGGTCCTGGGGTTACACTATGGTATGTTTTTGAAATATACTCCAAACGTTGGACATTCACTAAAAGTGACTTGACTTTTTTGCTTGGTTCGCGGAAATCGCAGTTCGGCCTATGCCAGGGATCATGAATCTCTAAGGTTGGGAAACACTGATCCAGATGTTTTGAGTTCACATTGGCCCAGCGTTTCCCAGAGGTTTTTGCTCTATTTCTTCTTGAGAATGTACCTAACTGCGATTTCTCCTTGCACCAAGCAGGAAAACTCACGAAACATCAGCACTACGCATTCTTACCTGTTATTGTGAACAAGATCAGGTGGTGGCGGATAGGGCCAGAGAAGTATCCTTTATAGAGATTGCATTCGGGCAAAACAAATAAGATCAAGGAAATTGAACTATCGGTAAGCCGTTCGTGCTTAAACATGCAATGTCAGTGGAAACATTACTAACTGTGTTTGGTGACCATGGCAGATATTTTCGGATCATTTTGATGGAGTTTCCTTGTAACCAATAAATGGAAATACAAGGAAGTAGGTCGACAGGACAGGATTTTCGGATCATTGTACACGTGGTGGGTGCTGGTACATCTGGTACATTGTTTTGGCATGGTAACATCTGGTAACGTCGTACCAAGACAGCCTTCCACGCTTGGCAATGTTTGCATTAGCCGTTCGGAATTATTGGGATTAGCCGATTAGGAATCATTTGGCCTCGACCGAAGCCGAAGCTGAATATAATGTGCAACGTTGCTTTGTGAAACTACAATTGTTTTCGTATTTGCTTAGCCTCTTGTGAACCAAAAAATAAAGATACGGGTTTACGGAGTGGCTGGGACCAGGTGTTAGAATTACAGATGTGGAAGTTGTTCTCGGACTTTCTTCCTCATCTTGTGTGCCAGTATGTACCCAACGTTTCGGATATTTGGCCCCCGGCCGTCGTCAGGTGTCATTTGTCCTGAGAATAAGGGCCTGGTTTTTACTGTTAGGGACATATGTGTCAGAGCATCAAAACGGTTGTGGTAGATATATCAATATGACAGGCGGGCACATATGCCCTCTGTGAAGTTAAGTCGCAGCTGCACTGAAAACGTTCCCATGACGAAGCCGAAGACAGCAGTTTAAGACCGCGTGAGGTCAGCAGGGGCGCTGGCGGGGCGATCTGGTTTGAGGTCAGACCCACGATTCATGCACTGTTTGAAGCCGGAGCCGAAGCCATACGTTCAAAACTATAATCAAATTATTAATCAAATGACACAAAAACGACACGCATACTATTTTCCAAAATCAGGCATTGGGGAAATGATACAACAAAGTTGAAGTATGAGTTTCTAGGATGCTTACACGCAATCGAAGATCGCGAGAACGCCGAAGACCGACGCTGCAGCGTATGGGTCACGCAGCGTCGGCTACTGCAGTCTGCCATTTGGTGCCGTAAGCAGACGGGCGAAAACCACCGCGTAGCGGAAAATGATACTTTCAAACACTTGGCAAGGTTGGTAAGTTTTGCATGTAGACCCGGTCGCAGACTTCACCTGCGCTTTTCAGGCTGATTTTTTTAGCAGATTAGCAGTTACAACACCACGAACATTCGACGCGCTGAGAGAATATTTACTGGCCGTTTTGATGTAACTGTTAATCGACGTGACATTCCACAGGCAAAATAGCGGCTACTAATGCCACTTGATGTAGTGAAATGCCTAAGCCGTCCAAAGGTGCGGGGGGGGGGGGGCGATGCAGGTCGCCTCGCGGTGTCAACGGCGGCAGCCGACGCCGCACGGCGTATGGAGACTGCAATGCCAGGGTCTGTATTCTTGCCAAGATTGCACACGTGCTACATGTTCATAAAAATACCAATTCGCATAATTATTTCTGTTTCTTTCTAAAAAAAGAAGGATGCACGTTCCAGGCGAATAAGTATTGGCCACGTGGATAGCGCACGTTATCTATCAATCATCATCTTGGGGTGCCAGACTTATTATGTGCCATCATCTTCAGATTAACACGCGCTAGGGTGGGGATCACTTTGACCTCCCCGGTGTTTTTTCTGGGATAGTTTACGAATGGTCCGGCGTAACCACGCCAAATTTTGCGTAGCTGTAAAAAATTGAATAGCAAATCGTTTGGTGTCAGCAATTAAAATGTACCATGTAAGGTTGCTGACCTACGGGAAGTCAAAGTCCGACCATGTATTCCGCAAAGTCAGTGTCTAGGAAATCGTTCAATCTGATGCAACAACAGAGTGTTAAACGAAGCCATACATCTCTGAGATAATTGCTTAGGCAACACAACAATTGAATGAACAAATTATTTTGATCCATGGTGGTATGAAAGCCAGACCACGGTCAAAACCAATCTGTTTTATCACTTTAAGACGTCCTGTACGGGGCAGTTTCTGGTCCTCCTTTCGAAATTATTGATGACAGGAAGCGCATTATGCATCTTCCTTGAAATTCTTACAGGTCAGAATCGGTCACTGACCTAAGGTGACCCGCGTCAGCATGTCGTTTTAAAAACATAGTGCCCAGCATAATCTTTGTCGCTTATTCAAACGCAGAACTAAAAGCAGTCCCGTATTTTTGTGGTAACCATGACCTTCGGAAAGGCAAACAAGGTTATCGACCTTGAAACGATTAGGAGAAGCTGAAATATCGGTGCGCCCATATTTCCCTTCTCCAAGTTTCTCTACGAGGAATAAGGCTATTACCACTGCCTGAACAACCACAACCCATTTGCATGCACATGCATCCATCACTATAGCCGTCTCAGTTCAGTCTGTGATTTTGTGATCTCTCTCTCTCTTTCTCTCTCTCCTCTCTCTCTCTCTCTCTCTCTCTCTCCTCTCTCTCTCTCTCGTCCTCTCTCTCTCTCTCTCTCCTACTCTCTTCTCTCTTCTCTCTCTCTCTCTCTCTCTCTCCTCTCTCTCTCCTCTCTCTCTCTCTCTCTCTCTCTCTCTCTCTCTCCTCTCTCTCTCTCCTCTCTCTCTCTCTCTCTCTCTCTCTCTCTCTCTCCCTCTCTCTCTCTTCTCCTCTCTCTCTCTCTCTCTCTCTCTCTTTCTCTCTCTCTCTCTCTTTATCTTTTATACCGTTTATGGCTTCGAAGTTCACCCTGAACATGCAACCTTCACAGCCACATCGTGCATGCCTTAGTGATGGAGCAACCACCCTCCTTCTCTACGCGATGGCAGACTTCAAACTTGTTTTGCTCTCAATGAAGCTGAAGCGACACACTACGCAGCACAACATGGCACTGACATCCCACGTCAAGTGCGTGGTACAGCGAGCCTCCGAACATTTTGTTATGCTGGTTGTTTAGGTTTTCAAACGTTTTGTGCGCTGCGTTTGGAACACGTCCGTCAAATTTTCTATATCATTTCCTTCACCCTGCCTACGAGCCTGTCTTGTAAGCCAATGCAAATCCAGTGGGGCTTTTTAGTGCACGCGACTCGGAAGAAGCCCGAAGACGGCTACATCCATGAGAAAACCCATCAGTAGAAAGCTGATAGCAGTGAAAATGGGTTAACGCGACTAAGATTCATTGCAGTTTTTCTACATGCCGTACGGATTTTTTCTTCGAAATTCATCGAATGCCTCCTTTGAGGTGATCAGCAGAACTTAAAATTCTGTCTCACAAGGACAGCCTTCCACACGCTCTTCTGTTCCTTACATTGCCGGCAAAGTAGGCGGGTTTATGCGCCTCTGGTAGGCTCCTCTGGGTGATGAAGTAAGCATAAATCTTGGAACGCTGTATAAGTATACTTCGTAGAAAATTCAACACGCTGCAGACTGGTAGCTATCGGTTTGCAACGCATGTGCAAAGCCAATATCAGCAGTTAATATGGTCGTCGCATGAAGATAGGGTCAAGCGCCATGACACCTGTCTTTGAGTAATAAGCAGGAACCTCAGGAGCCGGAGGCATTTGCCGCTCTTCAGAGTGCTACCAGATTCAGGCGGCAAAGCCGGTTGATCGAGTCTAGAAGGATTCGGCCGACCTGACACTATTGATAAGGGCGATGTTGATTCATGCAATGTACGGAATCCACGTCTCATTTTCCAGTTCCAAATGAACACAATGAATTTGGCAAGCCTCACCCAAAGCTTAAGGTCGCCTTGAGCCTGCTTTGTTTACCTCTGAGAACATGCCAATGGTTCGATCTCACTTTGAAGTGGGGCAATGGATGCCGCACATTCAGAGTATGTAGCATGTGGCAGGTAAACGAATCGCGCCATGTTTTGTGCGTGGACTCGAGGCATGCGCTCTGTTTGTTGCAGGCTTTTCCGACGCCATCCGCGCAGAAGCCACGCCCGACCGCCTCAGAGTGCCGATGTCACCGCTAGGGGCGCTGGTGTTGCAGCGCCCAGGCCTCGCGTCTCGGCTGCACCCGTCGCGTGATCCGCTCCCGCTCGCGGAGCAGAGGCCTCTGTTCGCCGCACCCGGCACCAGGGTGAAGCGCCAAATCGTGGACGAGTGCTGTGTGCAGGCCTGTGATATTCAGACTCTCAGGAGCTACTGCGACGTTTAGTGGTGATGCCAGTCGCCTTAAAGCGTATGGCCTCGCAGCCGGGATTTTGACGTTGCCAACACAAGTCGTCAAACAAGAAGCCGCTCGATATTTTACGCTCGTGCAGCGAGCGCAGATTGTCATTTGCATATAGCATGCGCGTTGCTCTGTTGTTTCATATGATTGTTTTAACAAAGTAGCGGGGTGGATTGTTTTGGGTGTCGCTGCACGGTTGTCCCCTTTGCATTAGCCTGGCGAGCTCTCTTACGTCGAAAATATCTGTTGCAGATCGTTGTGATGTGTCCACACATGTGGTAGGATGTGTATTTGGCTCTTAGATTTTGGATGTTTCGCAATGAAACGCGGCGTAATGCATTGTATATTTTGTGTGAAATAAAAAGCAGCACTCACTGCCCTCAGCAGCGAAATATGAACGCCCACAGAACTGCGGCATGGTCACAATTATCAAACGCAAAAGAAGGTCTCACGTAAGAAAGGTGTGGCTATGACCCATGATCTGCATAATGATTGATCATGTGTTGATCAGTTGAAGGTCATGATGGATCACATCATGACCTTCAACTGCTCAACACACAGCCTGACTCTGCTTGCCCAACCGCATCTCCCAAATTTCACTTCACAAATATAATTTAATTGCCTTGAAGCCTTCTCTGCCGTTCAGTTCACAGACTTGATGCATTCACCACCGCTCAGTTCAAAGACCAGCTTTTCAATGTAACGAAATGTCCACGACAAACGCAGAAGGCCCAGCCATCTAATGGTTTCTGTGACCTCTCACCTCTGACCTCTCACCAAGCTGAGAAGTACTACTACGGGAACCACCAGCTAACCGGTAAATATTTGGCTGTTTTCTCAGTCAGCTCCATTTTTTCACCTCTCCGTATTTATAGTTGTTTTACGTCATTAGACACACCAAGAGCATTGATATGACCATCTGACTGGAGTCGGGGCATGGGGCCACGCCCTGCCCCTCTGAGCCCAAACAGATTTTGCTGCCTCGGGAGGGCACCAAAATCACAAGTTGACCTGGCACTAAAACGTTTATTTCGCGACACTATAACATTCATTTTTTCTGGGGTACACCCTTCCAGATGGCACCAAAAAGGTTCCAAACCTTTATCACCTAGAGGTACAGGGTTTCAGGGCACAGCAATGTTGGGTCTCACACCCTGACGAATTCCCGGATCAGCCTCTTGGGATAGTGGGCACCAAAGCTTTCTTTCTTTCTTATTTCTGAATGGAATATTTCAGGGTACCACAACTTTTCTCTTCATTAAGCACCAAATAAAAGCGTGCATTAAAGGGCCAAAAGCCCTTATTTTTCAGGAGACTTAAATCCGGGGGCACCACAATTGCTTAGTCATTCACCCTGCCAAAATGCTGGATCTGTCCGGTTGGTGGATGGACCCCAAAACCTTCGTTTTGGGGCATCATAAACTTTATTATCTACAGTCGCCTTATTCCAAGCAGAACCAAAACGAGCCCCAAAAACATCATTTTCAGGAGACAACAAATTCCAAGGGACACCATTATGCCTGCGTCTTCCCATTAACTACATCCTTGGACGGCCATGTAGAGAAAAAGCACCAAAACATTAAATTCGGGGTGTCATAACTTTGTTCTCTAAATGAACGAAATTCAAGCGGACCATTGAAAGGGCTACGAAGCCTTGATTTCAGGTGGCACCAAATACAAAGGCATCACAACTTTGTTGCCTTCCACCCTGACGAAACCCTGGATCAGCCCCACTCGGCGCAGAGCACCGAAAGCTTTCCTTTTGGGGCATCATAATCTTGATTTGCACGAGACACCACCCAATTTCAAAGGGCGCCACAATAGGCAGCAAAACCTTCATTTTCAAGTGACGACAAAGTCTAGGGCATCACAAGTGACGCAAAGTCTATTTTTCAGGATAAACCATATACCAACGCTCGCGGGGTCCACGACGAAGGGCCCGGTTGGAGGTTCAGACAGGCGGGCCGGAGTTCATATCCAAGGTGGTCCAGCCCCCACCCTAAAATATCAGTAAGAGAGCCTGTTGCACCGATCACGAGCCCCCAGAGACAGCGGGGTTCTATATCAGCTGACTGAGACCATCAGCACCGAACAGTCGATTCCGTGCCGGTCTAGCCCCTTGGAGGCCCTTTCCCAAGCAGGGGCGATTGCAGGCCTGCAAGTGTCAATCAGAAGGCTTCTTGCATTGGCCGGTCCCCTGAAACGGTGAAGGGCCATCTGTGCTGGTCAGGGGACCACAGTGCCTGACGGAAACCTGTGTCGACGATGGGTCCAAAGTCGACCAGGGGCACATTGGGACCCCTAATTTCCTACGGGACCCCAAATGTCAAACGGCTTCTGACATTGGTTCGGTACCGTTTCACAGCCAGTGCATATGAGAAATGACTACGCAAGGGTCTTCTTTCATTTTGAGATCTTGGAAGTGCCCTGTGGCAGTCAGAGGTCACAGCACCGAACGAGGGTCCTTCTACACTGTTTCTACCAGGGGCCGATAAGCCGAATTGGTGTCGCACTGCACATTGGTGTCGCAGTGCAGTGTACTCCTATGCCAGTAATGTGTTCTTTGCGTTAGTGAGGGCCGCTGCATCGATCCAGCGCCAGGTGTCCTGGTCGGAGGATCTGTCGCACCAGGGAGGGGACCCGCGCAGTACATGACGTGTCCCCCGGAGGGCCTCCGGATCGACCAGGGGCGAGGTCCCCGTATTGCCATAATGGCAGCTGCTGGGGACACTGGACTGGGCTGGAAGAGTCATTCAGGTCTCGACCAGGAAATTTCGATCGCGTTTTTCCGAGGCTGATGCTCTGAACAAATTGAGTAGCTCCAGTCATACGCGTAATAGAGATTATGCCAATGCGCCCTGAGTTTGTGGTGCTATACGGAATAATCCGTTATGAGCAATCAGCTGAAAGTCTTACTGGGAAATCGTACGTCCGCGATGCATAACACGCATACAAGTTGATTTCGCACAGCGTTCGGAAACACCACTTTCCGGTGCGCGGCTGTTTTTGCCCGCCTGTTGACCGCCGCCAAATTTGGCTGCGAAGCCAACGCTGCGCAGCCCATGGCGACTGCAACGCCGGGCGTCGGTGCTTTTTCTTCCTTGTGTGTGTCATTGGAGCTTTACGACGCACTCAGCTGCTGAGGCTATATGGCGTCGCCTGCCTCTCACCCTGGCAGGAAGGGCGGGCACCGCGGGGAATCGAACCCCGTACCTCTGGTTTCCCAGATGTGCAGTGGTTAACGCAGACTTTTTTCTTCCTTCGTCGATGGAATCCACAGAAAGGATGAACCTCCCAAGGCGAGCAAGGGCTGGACATGTCGATGCCAATCCACGATGTCCTCAGTATCTTTGTAAAACACCGAGAAAATCCGAAAAATTATCTTTCAGTTGAAGTGGTTTGGGATAAAACGGCTAAATGACGGCTCAAAGTAAAGTGGACTAAATCCAGCGGACCATTTTGGGGTGACTTTTGAGACGGATTCCGTTCTGCCTTTCCACTAGCAGGTCCTTTGTTAAACGCGGTTTCCGTCTCCTACTACCACTCTGCCCACAGTGTCTGTGCATGCCCTTGACGAATTCCCGGAGATCGGTCCAGGTCAGCACAGCCCACAGAAGGGGGGGGGGGGGGGGCGCGTCAACCCGCATTTTGTAAAAATAATTTAGCACCGCAGATGGCTCTTGACAAAAATTTCAGAATTAATCATGATTTAAGACATTGGGTAGAATTCTTCCGCGCGGTGGTTTTTACGAATTCACTTGAAGTGTTAACACAACGCTACGGAACACGAGACAAAGTACCACAAAATGAAACAGCGAAAGCAAAACGCGAGTGCCACCCAAAAAGCTTGACATGAACACACACCACAGCAAAACCACCCTTACGCAGAGTCATCACGCGCTGCTGTTCCCGGCGGTCACCTCCGCTGACCTAGCGTTCCAGGATGATGCGGCTCTATACGCAAACTCTCGTCCAGTTTTGATCAGACAACACCCCGAGAGCCGCAGCATCCCGGCCGCCGAGGCACGAGTGTCGCGCGACGACACTTGGGCGCAACGAACAAACATGCCCGATTTTGCTGGGGGGCACTGACTGCAAAAAGGGCTTTCTGCACCTGCGCCCAGTCGTGGCGGCGCACCATTCCTTCCACCCTTGTCCAGCAAAGCGCTTGTAGCGCTGGCGAGATGTGTTCCCAGCCCCGCGCCCAAGTCACAAGTCTGGCTGCGAAGTTCCGTGTTTTTTTGGACACGCTGAAGTTGTAGTCCGATGCAACGTGCACATTACATCAGACAATACTTAAAGCGAGGTCCGTTGCCAGTAAGCAGACATCTGTGTAAGACAACGACAAAAGCAGTCGAATATGTCCCTAATCGAACAAAAACAAACGACAGAGGCAAGGCTGAAGTGTGAGTCAACTAAAGTTGCCACTGATATGCTCGCGCATATGTTATGTATACAAAAATGGCTGCGTATAGAAAAATACGAACTGCAAATAGGTCACTCTGCATGGGCGCGGCGAAAAAAGTTTATTGAAACGAGGATTATGTTTTACACTTGAACGGGCTTCGGATAAAATCTGAAGAAGTAGCACACACAGTTGGTGTCGGGGCATTTGTGTTACCTTATTGAGTTGCGCGAAACATTGTGTGTGATTAATTCATTGCGGGGGGGGGAGGGGGGATTGCCCGGGGTAACAGAAGAGGTAAGTCTTCACCACAACAAACCTACACGTTCCCTTTGACATATTTGGTTGGATACTGGCGTGACCAAACAAATACGAATGGCAAAAATCGAGATATATGAGATGGCGATATTTCTTGGAAGTTTCGCCAACGGTGCCAGCCACGCGTAATCCTTCGTATTTTACACCCGAAAGCAAAATGATTTTACATGCCGGCGGTGCAGAGTGTGTGGTATCCATTGGTTGTTGGGTCTGTGGAGCCCATATTCTTTGAGCATCGCTGAAGTCATCTCCCTAAGCTCGATTTTTTTGCTTTTTTGCACTCCACAAACATCAAAAGACACAGCACAAGTGTGGTGGATTTCCATGTTTTTGCCGCAAAATGTTCCACACATTCAAGGTAGCTTTCTTATGTTTTATCACAAGAGGGAGTACTGCGGACAAATCTACGAAGATCAATCGCTTCACCGTTTTTGGTGAAACCACAACCCCAGGCACTCAACGACATTGCGTAGTCTATGGAGACTGCAACGCCTGGTGTCAAGGCTTTTATTGTTAAGATTTGCGTGCGTGTGCGAAACTACGTTACATGATTT